CTAACGAGTAGTAACTACCTTAATAAATCATGAATTAATCATGAATTGCAGTATTAATATGCATTTATTAAATTAAAGCATATATTAACATAGTCCCTAACCATTATATATATATAAATGCATGAATAATGTACATCTAAATAAGTTATTAATCATTTGCTAACACTTTATAAATTATCTTATTAATCATCTACAACTCCTTAATAATTGGTTTGTAAAATATATAATACTTCATTTACAAATGGGGAATCCATCATTTATAAAGTATGAAAGCACAATAATGAAACACATAATAGACGGGCTTATTAATCAAGAATAAAACATTTATAACTGTTGTTATGAACTGCATACTAATGAATTATTAATGTAGGAACAATGCTTTATAAATGATGAATTAAGTGTTTACTCATACTTAACTAATGCTTCATAGTGTGTAGTTATTATAAAGTGCTACCGAAAAATGGAGGGAACACCACAAAGACAGGAACACACAAGATGCAGGGAATCTAAAAATATAACCAGAAACAAACTAAACCAAGATCATGACAGAATTTGGCCAATAAAGCAGACTCTCCTTCTAATTAGTGGGTTGACTGGTATTTTAATAGCTCCACTTGAGTGCTAACTTAAACAACTGACTCCACCTTCACCTACTCCTATTCCAGCTGCCTTACATACTTCTGTTCATAACAGTATAAATAAGCATTTCTTCAACATGTCATTCATTAACTAACTGCCTCCTGTTGTCTTTGTCCCCAACCCTTCTCACTCTTTAACTTTTTATTTCTTTATGTCTGTTCCTGTCTAGACTCTTTGGTCTGAAGGACATCATCATACCAGGAAACTGCTCCTCACCCTATGACCTAAACCTTAATGCTGATCATGATTGGCCAGTTTACGTCAACCCAGGAATACTGTTCCTCCTCTATATTACCATAGCAACAGTTCTCAAGACAGGATACCATGGAACACCTAACCAGGTATCTGCTACTTCTTCATCACTGGTACTGACTGAAATGTGTTATGTATTACAAAGAAAAAAACAAGTTGGCATTGGATATGTGGATGGGTTCATAATTGCACGACGGGCGAGACAGCGCTGATCTTTGGCAACAGAGAAAATCTCCTCTGGATGGTTAGCTGTTGTGCTTAGCGAGTTAAGATCGCATCACTTACTCTTTCTTTACTTGTTCTTTGATCACAATTATTAATTTAAATCAAGTTTTTTTGCTAATTGTCAACTATTTCAGTACATATCCATGCATGGCTGCATATGTTTAGACAACATTTAACATCTAAGGACTCTGACTTTATTTGGTAAATAAGAAAGATTCTCAAAGTGAGTGTAAAAGTAGTACCGTTTTGGTCTTGGTACCATAACTTAGACATAGTAATGACCCTAATATTGAAGCAATTCTTATTTCACTAAATAATAACATAAATTATTTTGTATTATAATTTTTACACCTTTTTACATCTCTGACACTCCTTGCACTACGGTACTGGTGAGCAGATACAATTAGATGTGAATGCAATTACAGTTTTCTGCTTTTTCCACTGTTGTTGCTCTTTTGGTTTTAAACACCAGATGATCAGTGCGGGAGATAGTAAGCACAAGCACTTTTACAACTTTTTAACTTTTCCACAATGATTGTAGCGCATTTTTTAATGTTTCTTATCAGATGCTGTATTTGTGTGTTCAGCAGGTTAAGGAGGAGCAGCAGAAGGAGAAAATAGAAGAGGAGGAGATGATGGAGTTAAGGTCATGGAATCAACAGCAAAATGAATATGAAGATGACACACAGGTAAATATTAATTTCTCTGTGTAGTTAAGTAATTAAAATTTGACCATTTTAAGAAACTAATGAAAGTATGGACGAATCGCTTCATATTCAACACCTGAGTTATATCAAGTGGAATGAAATCATGAGAAAAAGTCTCATTCTTTAATACAACAGTATTCACATATCCACTAAAATGTGTTTGCGTACTTGTCTGTTTCAGCTAATACTGTCTATGGGCACAGAAAGCAGCAGAGGAGGAACTATGGCTGGAGAGAGTGAGCCAGATCTGGGTATCAAAGGCTCAATTTTTCTCAGAAATCATCTATGTAACTAAAACATAACAGTGTATGTCATTATATTATTACAACAGTGGCAAATCTATTCAGGATTTAGATGATTATAAATTAATTTGACAATTTGGAGGAAGTAATTTTCATCAGGTTTGACAATATCAAAATGGAAAGACGCTTCTCAAGGAAATCATATTGCTATCTGAATGGGGTAGAGCGACACGATGTGAACACACAGCACCACAAATCTGCAGCCGATGTGGGTTCATATGTAATATGAGCAGTGCTGATAGAAATTAATAATAAATAGTATTGAAGAAGCCATATCTCACGGACAACAGTGCAACATTATGTAAGAATAATATGTCACTTACAAGAATGTTCGTTTAGAGCTGAATTTCTTTTAAGAAAATAGGGCCAGGCTGTTGCAAATTAAAGAGAACTCTGCTGTAAATGGAATATTTTTAAACGTGGCATTGATTGATGCTGTGTACATATTTCTATTGTGAAGTTATCTGAAACGAGAGGGAGAGGTGAGTGACAAAATAAAACAGGAAACCCAAAGATAACATCAATGTGAATACAGGGAAAACATAACTTAGTGAACTTGCAAGGTGTTACAGTATTCACTAAAGTTGATTGCTTCGATCTGGGAAGACAGTGACATCACTAAAGAAGAGGTCTGACAGGTCAAGAAACAGAGCAGTCAGCCGATCAGTCAGGTTGGAAAGAAAGCTCCCAGATTAGTCAAACTTCTGTAGAAGAGAAAACAAAAACAAACATTTTACCTAAAAATATTACCTAAACTGTCTGCTGTAAACATCCAATCCCAGTTTACAGACTCATTGAAGTGCACACAGTTTTCCTGTTCAATGAGGAATTAGCAGAATGTGGTGTGCTCACTTTCAGTTTTACCCCTAAAAAAAGCAGTTTATATGATCTGGATAAATGGTTTGGTTCCATGTTTGACTGCTCCTCTTTTCTTGACCCATTATTAACGATTAACTGTGTAAGTACAATGTTATCATCACTGATAGAGATGATGACCAAAACTATAAAAATAACAGCCAAGCTGTAATAAATTTGAAATATCCTTTTTTTATAGACTATTTCAACAGCCTAAATTATTTCTCAGATATGATGATACATGATGTTATCTTGATCTTTCTCAGCTGGTTTTTCTTATTATATGTAGTGTTCTACATACTGAGATGATTGTTGTTTTTGGCAGGTGCTAGTGGCGCCCCCAGTGGCCCCCAACAGAGTGAAAGCCCGTTTTTCCTGCTGGGAAAGGTGGTCATGCAGCAGAGCTATGTCTGTGCTCTCATAGCCATGATGGTAACTATTAATATAAACCATGATTTTATACATTTATAAATTGATGTCATCTTTTATAAAAGGCCAATGCAGTATACTTTGCTGTCTACTCAATGAACACAATTAATAATTCAATTAGTTAAAGTTACTGTGAGGAACTTTTAACTGGTTATAAAACAATATTGATTTAATACTGATGCCTCTGTATGACATTCATAAGTAAATATGACCATCAGCGAGAAAATTGTCTATTTCTATATAGTTCTTCTTAATGCCTGTCATCGGTGTCACCGGGTCGGTTTCTGTGCGAAATCAGTTGAAATTAAGCAGCTTCAAAGAAACTCCTTAAGCTTAGACCCTAGCAAGGCCTCCAGTCCAGTAGCAACCAGCCCACCGTGGAAGGATCCTGATCCGGTTTCACTGCAGCCTTCAACCTGCAGTCGGAAGTCAGAAGAGAGCTCAGCGCCCTGCAGAAGCGTCTCCTCCTTCGGCCAGGAGCTGAGCATCGCCTCGCCGCTCGGCTGGGAGCCAACGCCAACATCACGCTACTGGAGACCCAGGCCGTATTGCTGGACTTGCTGAAGAGTAGAGAGCCACGGGAGAACCAGAACCAGGACTGAGTGGAGCAGACCACTGCTGCTGTAAAATGTTGGAACAGTTCCATGTCTGGTGCTCAGAAACACTAACACTTGTCCACAGGGACAGCCTAAATCAACACAAAATGAAAGTTACTTGTAGTAACTTTAATATCACAGACTGGTTTTGGCACCTTTGTCTCTTCATGCTGATAGTGACTGCGACCCGCATACAACAGCAACACAAAATGGCTTCCACATCTTTCTTATATGCTGTTTCCATGTTGTTCAGGTTTGGAGCATCACATACCACAGCTGGCTGACCTTTGTGCTGCTGTTGTGGGCGTGTCTCATCTGGATGCTGCGTGCCAGGTACCTGTAGCGCTGACTGAACAAATCAGGATTGATTACCTTCAAATGCTACAGTTTTTATTGATGCTTGGTGATTGTATTAATTGACTCCTATGATATTGCTTGTGTTGGATCAGGGTTTGGTCTTGTTAGACTAAACAAATACACATCTTAAGTTTTAAAGTGATTTCAACATACTGTAGTTGGATAGATTTTTGCTGTGCACTGCCGATAGTTTGCTGTCTCATTTTGCAGACGACATGCAGCCACATTGTGCTCTCCATTCATCCTGCTTTATGGCCTGGCTCTGTGCTGTCTGCAGTATGTCTGGGCCATGGAGCTCCAGCCTGAACTGCCCACCACTGTGGGCACCATGAGTCTCAGACAACTGGGACTAGACAGAGCCCACCACCCCTGTTTGAGACTGGGAGCTATGGTAAGATGAGAGAATAGATACTGGGGGACTTGATGATGAAGTTAAAGTTGTGATCTATTATGAGCTCCCGTATATTTTTATTCTCCACACAGCACTATGAACTCAGTTAGTACAGCATGTGTCTTGTTGACAAAATATCACGAGTTCAACTCCTGGCTGTGCCAGATTAAATGCTGTATAACAGCCAAAGTCAGTGCTCCTTCACACAGCACCAGCCCTGGATCTGATAAACTCTCACAATCTATAATCTCACATTTGGAGTAAGTGTACTTTCCTTAATGATATTCCAAGTTTAGCAACAGAGAACACACCTCTGCACTCTATTCCTTGACATAAACAGCCCGGCATCAAGTTTTGTGGGGCAGTTCATTTAAATCAACTCAGCTGTGACTTGGCTCTTTTACATCATCAGTACTGCAAACTTTTGTTCTTCGTCATTGCAGTTGTGCTCATTAACAGAGCCCGGGACCCCCACTGACTCTGTCATCCCCAGGACAAATTCCTACCGGTCACTCCCCTATTACATTCAACACTTTTACACTACACCTACATCTCACTTGTTTATAGTCCTGTTATCTGTTCGTTTGTGCACTTTATTTTATATTTCACATTATTTTATATCTTACTTTATTTTATATCTCTCTGTAAATTTTAATATGTTTCTATTTGAACTGATTGTTGTTGATTGTTAAATGTTTGCACCTCCCGTCACGTCAAATTCCTGGTATGTTCAACATACCATGGCAATAAACGGTTCTGATATCCTGATATCTGATATCTGATATCTGATAATTTGCATTGGTTTAATAAATATGCCCAAAATAGTTCTATTGATTTCAGCAGCTGAATAAAGGGATGGGTCATTTTTAGAGATTTCTTTCTTGAATTTTCAAAAACCCAGTGAACTGAATTATTGCTTTTGATTTTTTTCCATCTTTCTGTCTCTCTCTCTCTCTCTCTCTCTCTCTCTCTCTCTCTCTCTCTCTCTCTCTTTCTCTCTCTCTCTCTCTCTCTCTCTCTCTCTCTCTCTCTCTCTCTCTCTCTCTCTCTCTCTCTCTCTCTCTCTCTCTCTCTCTCTCCAGCTCCTGTTTACTTTGACCTTCTGGCTTTTAGTACGTCAGTCAGTGAAGGAAAACTTCAGCAGGAAGAGGAAAATTACTACACCACTACAGGAGGTCACTACAGGAGGTCAGATATCTTTTACACACACACACACACACACACACACACACACACACACACACACACACA